AAAACCTAAAGGGATTTCGGAAGTTCTGGGTCGAAGAGGGTCCACAGCAGAGTTGTGACTTTGGGGGTTTAGGGGGTTTAGGGTTTAGGGGTTGAGGGGGTTTAGGGTTTAGGGGCTTAGGGGGGTTTAGGGGCTTAGTTTCAGGGTTTAGGGCTTAGTTTCAGGGTTTAGGGGCTTAGGGGGTTAAGGGTTTAGGGCTTTAAGGGTTTAGGGTTTAGGGGCTTGGGGGGGTTTGGGGGCTTAGGGTTTAAGGGTTTGGGGCTTTAAGAGTTTAGGGTTTAGGGGCTTAGGGGGGTTTAGGGGTTTAGGGTTTTAATGGGTTTAAGGGCTTAGGGGTTTAAGGGTTTAGGGTTTTAAGGGTTTTAAGGGTTTAGGGGTTTGGGGGGGTTTAGGGGGTTTAGGGGGTTTCAGGGTTTAGGGGGTTGAAGGGTTTAGGGGGTTTGGGGGTTTATGGGGGGTTTAGGGGTTTCAGGGTTTAGGGGTCTCAGGGTTTAGGGGGTTTTAGGGGCTTTATGGGGGTTTACGGGGTTTAGGGGGGTTGAGGGGTTCGGGGTTAGTGCGTAGGGGCTTCGGGTTGAGTAAAAGGTTCTGCAAAGGCGTCTATTCAGCTTCAGAGTTTCACGGTTCTGGGGTTTACCCAGAGAGCCCAATACCCCTTAATTTAAGGAAGATGCCTTCAATCAGAATACTACGCCCCTTCTAGTTTAAGGTATATTGCTTAGTTAAGGGGTATTGGGCTCTCTGGGTAGGGCTTTCTCTACGGGTCATGTCGAGGTGTCTCTTGGGCTTAGTATAGTTGGACTAGGGTCTAGGGTTTAGGGTTCAAGGTTTAGGGTTCAAGGTTTAGGGTTTAGGGGTTTAGGGGTTAATATAGTTAGACTAGGGTCTTTTGGGGCTGTTTACATGCCTCAAGAGGGTTGCGTAGGGTACTGAGAGGGTGTTGCAGGGGGTTTGTAAGGGTGTTAACAGTTAGAGGCTATATTGTAGCGGCCTGAATTTTCAGAGTACGGGGTCTCGGCTTACTGTACTACGGTCCAAATGAGGCTATACGGCAGAGCGCTAACTTCGGACGCTGTGAGGGTGTAGTGTCTGTCGGGTACTTTGGTCCTGATGCAGCTTTGTGATGCCCGCGTAATAGGAGCCGTTATGTGATTTAAGGTATATGCCGTATTGAAGGGAGCTGTCTTAGGGGCTGAGTACCTAACCCCAACAGAGTTGACCTTGTGAATTGTGCTAGGACTATGTAAACACAAGAGGTTAAAGGTTACCTACTATGAGTACAGGAAGAGGCACCAACTGAGGGGAGCCAGGTCGGAGCGCTGGGCTTCGTTTTGCTCACATTCCGACTGTCAGGGTTCAGGGTGTCGGGTTCAGGGTTTAGGGTTTTGGATCCCAGAAATTTCTCAGTTCTAGCGCTTTGCTTGCCCCTTATGTAGTTCGAGAGGGCTTCCTGTTCAAACGGGGACTGTTTGTACTTTCCGTTACCCAGGCGCTTGAGATGCGCCGGATAGGATGGGTGCCGCATCCGCTGCCGGGCGCATGCCACCAGCTTGCGGGAAGGCCACATCTGTCACAAGCGCCATGCAGCAGCGCGAGCGCCGACGCCTTTTATGCCGGTTGCGCTGCTCTGCCTCAAAAATGTGCTTCTTCATCATATTATCCAGAAGGTGGGCCAGCAACAAAGGGGCCGGCCAGAGGAGTGCCTTCCCCGGGCCTGAGCCTAAAGCCTTTGGCCAATCTATCGAGGCAGCTCTGTTTCCAGCTTGCGCCGATGCCTGGATGCCACTGTGTTGGCCCGCCTCTCGACCTTTTCGCACGCACTATCTGGGGCACGCGAGGCCAATGCAAGTAATTACCACTTATAGGTTATTAGATCCTTACGGACAGACGGGTACCTGCGGTTGTTTCGGGACGGCGGGGGGTTGCTACACTACGCAGGAGGAAGGTAGGCGAATATGACGAAACTAGCTAAACCCTAGACCCTAAACCCTAAACCCTAAACCCTAAACCCTAAACCCATGAAACTAGACCCTTTACATTCTGAACTCTGAACCCTGCACCCATGAGAAACGTACTGGCTCATGAACCACATGAAACATAATCCCTAAACCCACACCCTAAACCCTAAACCCTAAACCCTAAACCCTAAACCCTAAACCCTAAACCCTAAACCCTAAACCTAAACCCTACACCCTAAACCCTAAACATCATGAAACCATGGTGATACCCTCACGAGTTGGGTGCTACATGCACGGGACTTCACGGCTGCTGTTTTGGAGGGTATTGTAGGGCATACAGCTCACGGCTTATGAATGGTGTGTGCGATCAGGGATTTTGGGGGTTGGGATCTTGTCTCAAGGTTTGGAGTATTGGGTTCTGGACCCTAAACCCTAAACCCTAAACCCTTAAACCCTTAAACCCTAAACCCGTAACCCTGAACCCTAAACCCTTTCACCCTTAAGCCCTA